AAAAAAAGAAAAAAAGAAAAAAAGAAAAAAAGAAAAAAAAAAAAAAAAAAAACTTGCGCGGATTACCTGGCTCCCTTGGTACATGGAAGACGCGGAAAGTGTGTGCCTGTTAATCTAAAATGGACGTGACACCTACCCCCTGCAACAAATAAAGGCGCAGCTGGCATTCCAGATCAACGGGCTCCGTGCCCGCTTGCGTGGACGTCGACGTTCGTCACTTGCACGTAACGAGGTCACAGCTCTATCCTCCCAGCTTCGGATGGTTTTATTTTTCTATCTCACGGTTTCTCATTTCTCGCACACGCCCCTTTCCTGGTGGTATGCTGGATGGGGATTCAATGGAGCTCTCGTCACGTGAGGCTTTGTTCCTCAACGGAACACGCGTGGCTGGCTGGCAGGAGCCAAAAGTTGGGACGACGCGCAAACGAAAAAAAAAAAGAAAAAAAAAGTGGGGGGCTGCTGCCTCCACAGTGGAATCCGCAGTCTGCCTTTAAAAATCCTCACCTTGCGAACTCCATTCTTGATCTTTTCTTTCTTCCCTTTTTTTTTCTTCGTGCGGCTGGCTCAACAGTATTTCTCCGTGTTGCTCGAATCCTCAAAAACCCCATGGATGTCAAAAAATCGTGCGTCAGTTGAGCCCCAGATTGATCAAATTGCAGGCCGGCCCTCCCACCTCTTTTGTCTCGTCCTCAGCCAGTCCCGTCCTTTTGGGCGAGGCGCAGGCCAGGACGGGCGGTGGGAGGCCGGACAGATAAAATTGCCCCCTTGGCTGCTTTGCTTGGGCGTGCCCTGTGCGGTACTGTTGCGGCAGAGAGAAGACTCCTTCGCGTCTCTAGACCCCCAGCCCCTTTGCTATGTGAAAAGGATGCGGTCCAATCTATCGCTGGACCCCTGTTCTCGTTACCGGTCTCATCCGCGAACAAGTCTCGAGAATTTTCCCGACAATCGCAGGCCAGAGATCACCGTCGTCGGGGGCAGATGAAGTGTACGCCCTCGGAGCCGATAACGAACGGGATGTGGGCGATGACTGGGCCAACTCCCTCGCCTTGGGATGTTCTCTTTTAATCTATCAGGGCCGCGGATCTAGCCAGTAGCGAGGATGTGCTAATTATAAAAAAAAATGGCATCTCCAAAGCGCCCCTCCCACACTTTACGAGGTGCATTGCAGCTCTATGTTCCGATTCGCGAGGGCGGCTCCGGGCTCCTGTCAGACCACCAGCTGAGTTGTCGAGCTTCAGCCTGGCAAACCTCCCTGCTCTAGTCTGCCAAAATATTGCATCGCGCTCGTCTCCTTCCCCCAGCCTCTCCCGGTCTAGGTTGTGTGTGCCTTACTTGCCCGCAGAGGGCCTGCCCATAATCCCAAATACTTCCCTCGTTTTTTTGCACGTGTGAATCAACGGCGTGGTAGTGCAATGGCCTCCCCCCCCCCCCCCCCCTCCCATATTTGCAGTAGCGTATCGTGGCATGCTTTCTCTTACTCGCCCTGCTCGTCCCCGATCTTCTCCAGCTTGCCCATCTCGCGCTTCTCGCCCGAGTCGCCTATCAGCCTCAGCCTGTCGAGCCGCACCTTCTCGGAGCTGCCGTCGCCCGACTCAACAAAGATGACGAGGCTGTTGATGTTCTGGAACTTGACGAAGCGGAGCGGGATGTTGGCCGTGCCCTCGGCGTTCCAGTCCGAGGCGGATATCTCGATCTCCTGCGTCGGCTCTGTCCTCTCGGCCTGGTCGAAGTCGAGGTTGTGCGGCCGGTTCGGGTAGAGCTTGATGGTCTTGGGCCGCATCGGGACCTCGTCTTCGTCGACGTCGTCACCGGTGGGAGGGATGGAGGTGATCTGTGGTGTGAGAGAGATTGCGTGTGTGAGCACTAGCCAAACAAGAAACACATCGATGTGTCTCCATGTAGAACCAACGTACCTGAAGTGTGTGCAGCTTGAGCATGGACTGGAAAGGCATAAACAACAGAAGCTGCTCGTCCGTGTCGCTTTCGACCCAGTCGGTCTCGCCCGTCTCTTTGCCCTTGCCCGCCGCGAGGGCGCTAGGCTTCTCCTGGCTGAACAGCACCCGGACGCTGCCCTGCTCCGAGTCTACGTTTAGTAGCTCGACGCGCTTGAGCTCGATCTGGTCCGACACGTCCTTGTAGCTGCGCGGGAGCGCCGCGCCCAGCCAGTTGCTCGCCGCAGCAGCAGCGGCGGCGCTGCTGCCGCCACCACCACCACCGCTCGACTCCCCGCCGGCGGCCGCCGCCGCGCCGCCCAGGGAGCCCCGCAGCTTAAGCAGGTCGCGGAGCGACGAGAGGTCGGCGTTCTTGCTGGTCTGCAAGGCCTTGCCGTTGCTGAAGGCCACCACCTTGGGCGGGTCCTCGATCTGGTACGCGGCCGCGATGTCCGGGTGCTTGCCCACGTCGATCCTTGCGGCCCGGAGCTGGCTCTGGTTGCCCGCGAGCGCCTGGAACTGGCCGAGGAGGGCGTCGGACCGTGCTGCCGACTGCGGGTCGGTGACTGTTTTTTTTTATTTGCGCAAAACGTTAGCGGGAACCTTTTGCCTTCGTTTCTGCCGGCGGCGCGGTCTTTCCGAAACAGGTGCAGACCAGCTCAGCCTTTCGGGGCGTGGGAGGGGCAAACTGGACAAGAAGGGCGTCGCCTCAGGGGATCTTTCGCAAGTTCTAGGGCGGACTTACAAACCGCGAGCAGGAGGCCCTTGTGCTCTTGGATGAGACCACGCAGCTGCGCCAGCGACGTGACCTCAACTATCACAGGCAGCGAAGCCATTCTGGGGCATCAAACTGGCGGGTGTTGCAAAACACGGAGCCTGTTCTCCGTCGGGTCGCGAAAAGCTGCCTGCCAATAGAGGTGGATGAGGACCTGGGAGCGCCGGCCTTTCCTGGTGCCCCGCGTTGTATTTGGATCCCTGTAGCGTTTAGTCACCAGAGCTACATCATGTCACGTGTGTGTGTCGTGCTTGTTGGGACGGTCCAGGTTTTTGGCAATCCACCTTCTCTTGACAATCTACTCACCTGGGAATCGCTGCGTAAACTACGCCGGAGAATTAGCGGCTGATCTTCACGGACCTTGAGCCGCCGGATAGGATTTTTTTTTCTCAAGGCGTGAATCCAAGTCGACTGCTTTAGGTTCTCAATGATCGCTGCTGGCGGTGTGGCTTTCGTCAATTGAAGCATGCACGACTGATAAATGCGTATGAAAAACAGGAGCAAATTAAGGTTGCCAATACTGCGAGAAACTAACTCTACTTAACCTGTGAGAATAGAATATTACTCCCGCCTTCTGAACCAAGCTGAGGAATCGGCAAACGCAAAAGAAAAGTCGATAGGAAGCCCAAAAACCCGAGGCGCAAACCAAAACGCCAGCCAATCCGAAACTGCTCATATCCATCTCTGGCTCCGCCCGCATTTCGTGGACCGCTCACACACCGACGACATGGCTGAAAACCCTGATAGCAAGTTGGCTAAGAAGCCTGGCGCGGTCGTCTTGGGGGAGTTCCTGGAAGACAGGGTTAGCAGCTGGCGCATGAGGACGCTCACACCTCTTCCAAGTCTAGCCCCGTGTGAGGTTGACGAACCCTCCTTGCAAGAGAGATGAATATTCTAGACGGGACGACCTTCAAGACGTCCGTGTTCCTACCCACCACCGCAATCACGGTCACGAGTCCTTTCTGGCTGTGGCCGCTGCCGGCGCCGTGGCCGTGGTCGCGGTGGGGGCGCTCCAACGCCATCACCTCGGCCACCTCCACCTCTGCCAGCGGCGGCGGCCCTGCTGCCTTCGCCACCACCGCCGCCGCCGCCGCCGCCGCCGCCGCCAACATTCACATCCAAACTCACCTGAAAGACGGCGTACACGCTCTTCCCGCGCGCGTCGCGGACGGCCCCGAGCCGGTTGCCCGCGACGGCGCCCGCCAGCAAGCCGGGGACGTTGCCGACGATGAAGCCCAGGGCGCCGCCGCTCATGCCGCCGACCATGCCCCAGAACTTGCCCGTGGGCTGGTTGGTGCCGGGCTGCGCCATGCCCTCCTCGCGCAGCATCTCCTCGAAGACGTCGCCGAACTGCGCGTCCTCGGCCTGCTGCCGCGCCTGCCCGCCGTCCTGCTGCTGCTGCCCTCCCGTAAAGTAGTTCCAGGCCCAGCTGAAACCGTTCTGCTGTTGCTGCTGCTGTTGTTGGCCGTCGCCGCCGCCGGCAGCCGCCCCCGTGCTGGTGTCGTTGGGGTCCGCAAAGGGGTCGGCGGGCTCGGCGCCCCTGAAGCCGCCAAAGAGCTTCCTCTGCGCGTCGTAGTCGCGCCGCCGCGTCGGGTCCGACAGCGTGTAGTAGGCATCGTTGACGAGCTGGAACCGGCGCGTCCGCTCTGGGCGCTCGGGTGAGTTGGCCGCGATCCGGTCCGGGTGGGTTTTCAGGGCGGCTCTGTGTAGTGGCGGCGGTTGTTTTTTTTTCGCGCCCAATCAGCCTTTGAGTCGGCAAATCGCAGACGACTGGTGCTGGGACCTACCGCTTGTAAGCATCTCGGATCTGCTGTATCGAGGCCGACTCGGAGACCTCGAGGATGGCGTCTGTTATTTGAGAGCGGTTAGCCAACGGTAGGGTCACGTCGCCGTGCATACGCGGCGGGGCTTTGGGCTCCTGGGGATGTGGGTTTCGGGCTGGGGGGCTCACAGTAGTTTGGCGGTACTGATTGTGTCATCTTGGCGTCGCTGTCTGGAGCTCAACGGCAGTCAGAACCACTGAGAGAGCGGTAGGGTAAGCGGATGGTTATGAGGGAAAAAAAAGGTGTGTTGATTTTAAGAGGATGAGGCTTGCAACGGCGTGGCCTGTCAACGAGGAAAGGCGATGAGCAGCAGAGTTGGGCGGGAGAGTGACAACGTCATATGTGGCGTTCGAGACGTGGCTTGATCTAGCTAACCGGTGGGGTGATCGAGCCTGCGAACCGGGCTGCCACAAGCGTTGCTCAAGGTGCAACGGATGGCCATCAAGTGCCTCCGAGTAGAAGGGTTAGGGTCTTACACAGGGTCTCAGGCTAGGTGTCTGTTCAACATGTGCCTCCATTTCCTGTCGGGCCCAGCAAGTGACAGCGGGTTCTTCTGTGTTTGCCAGCCTGTATAAGTGCTCTGGGCTCTTCTCCATGCCATCACCGGGATAAACCGCCCATTCCCGAGATGCATCTATGCCTTACTTCATGCTCAGGTCTACGGCTCAGGTCAACCCAAACTGTTCTGTCAGGGGCTGCAGTGCAATCCAGTCTGAGATGCGCCATGGCTCATGGCTGCATGCTGCAGCATTCCGTCGCAAGTGGGCCGGTCCCTGTCTTGTGGCCCGCAAGGGATCCTGTCGGACGCTAAGGACGCGGGCATCTCGAACCGGCCATGAGCTGGGAGCCCAATCTTGGACGTCTTTGTTGCGCAACGACCTGCCTCTGCCCTTTTTGTTCTGCCCGTTGATGCATCCCAAGACGAAAGCAGTCATAACCTAGGGTGTCTATCTGTAGGTATCTGATTGCTCGGCCCGTAGCGTGCCTTAATCATTGGTCTTTTGTTGCCGACAGCTCACAGGGACCGACGCAGGTGAGGGTTTCAGAGCGGGCGCCCTCGGGCTGGGCAGCACACACATGACCGCTCTTTCTGCCCAACGGGAACGGGCGGGTGGGGGGCTCAGGGAGGCCCAGCAGCCTAACGGGCTGTCACCCGTGCCGGAACCCATGGGAAAGGTCCAAAAGGGAAACTCCTTGTGCGTAACCCCTCCATCAAGGGCCGGAGTGCGTCGCCACCGTCATTGTCGCCCATTCCATCGGGATGGAGGGAGGACAGAGAATTGCATCTAATGCCAAATTCACCAACAGGCCGCATCAACATGAATGGTGTGCATAAATCACCAAGCAAGGCCGTAATATGAGAATGTATCATTTCGTTGTGCTCAGCAAAAAGGATATTATAATTCAAGATTGCAAAGAGAAGGAGAGCATCGCATTGGATGACACGCTCCCCAGTCTTCGGGCTGCCTGCCGTGCTAGCTTCCCACCTAGCGCATGGTGTGCTGCCTGATTCCCACGCTGCATGCATCTGCAAGCAGCCCCCCTCCACCGCCTTGGCGCCCTACCCTTCTCGAACCCTGTCGCCGTCACTTTGACAGGCTGCTGCTGAACAAACAAAGAGCTGTCTGGATATTTTGCCGCCGACACTACCAAGTTAATGTTGGGATCCGTGGGTTGAGCCCCAGCAAGTTCCCCATGTTTCCTCCGAGCCAGGCAGCTCTTTCACCGGAGCTGTCTCCCCGGCCTTCGATACCACACCCCTGGTCTGTAGGCCAGCCACGTTCGGTCTTTCCCTGGGCAGACATATAGAAGACCAGCGTGCCTTCCTCCGTTGCAAGCTCTGAGTCCACGCGCCCTGCCCCAACACCCTGCGCCCTTTTCTGTTCAGCAATGGGCCCATCTTTGTTCTTTAACCCCAGACCTAATTAGCCAGCATAGCTCCTTCCTTCCTTCCCGGCCCCTCCTACGGCCTTACTCCCGCCGCTTTGTTGCCCTCACGAACACTTTCGCTCACCTCTCCCATCTCAACAGCCCACCCAGGCATCCGTTGTTTGTTCTCTTCTTTCTTGTCTTCTCTCTGCCAGCATATCTGCACCCCCATAACACCGAATCGGTACGTTGTTAAAGACACATCAAGCACGCGTCTACATTCACTCGCTGACCAGGAGCTCGTAGCTCTCGTCAATGGCCATCATCTTGCCCGGCATGCAGGCTCAACAGGAAGATCTCGCTACCCTATTTGACCGCAACATGGTCCTGGACCAGAGTGTCCAGCAGCCTCCCCAGCAGGCCCAGGCCCAGGCCCCCCAGATCACGTATTCCATCACCCAGCACTACAACCACTCGTCCCACGTCGCCCGCCAGCAGCAGCAACAGGCCCAGCAGCAGACTGAGCAGCGCCGCTTCTCGGAGCCGTCGCAGTCCGAGTACCCGACCGCGGAGCAGATCCTGGCTAGCCACGGCATCAACCCGTCGTCACTCTCGCCCGCGCAGGTCAACCTCTTCAAAGACGCCGACGACGATCAGAAGCGCCGTCTCGTGGAACTCTGGGGCATCTTCCCTCCCGCCAACCCGGGTTTCAACTCCAACTCCAACTTTAGAAACTACAACAACTACAAGGCCGCCAACGACTCGGCGATGGCGTGGTCCGCCACCAGCCTCGAGAACGAGGAGGCCCTGGGCCGCCTGCGCTACGAGCGCCTCCAGCAGCTTCGCCAGTACGAGTGCGAGGGTGCCATCGCCGCCGCCGCCGCCCGCGAGCGCTCCGTCATGATGAGCCTCGACGGAACCGCGGTCGCCGCCGTCCCCTCCCAGGGCCGCGACGGTCGCTGGAACGTGGCCGACGAGAGCGCCGACTACATGATGGAGCCCTACATGTCGTCGGGCTACGAGGTCTCGTCGTCGGCCGCGGCCGTGCCTAGGGAGTACCGCCCGGCCCTGGACCCGGCCTACAGGTCCGCCCACTCGCCCGTCGACTGGGCCACGCGCCAGCGCGCCATGGAGAACCAGTATGGCGCCTTCTCGCAGTGCCGCAGGGAGGCCTAGAGGCGAGGCGTCGTCGGCTTCCGGCCCCATTCGTTTTGCTTGTTCTTCCTCGTCTCTTCAGGGTCTCTTTTAACAATTTCTTCGGTCACTGTGCGGAGGCGTCCCGGACAATGAGGTGCATGTGGCGGCTGCGTTTCTTTCACAACACGGATTCTGCCATCTGGCTTATTATTTTGCCTTTTCGGAAGCAGGAGTTTTAGGGCATCGCATCAGCCCCCACCAACGGGACAGGAAGGGTCCTTGGGAATGGGTCAATGGTTGGCAACCTCCAGATAATATGGAGGGGTGGACTTATACATAGAAACCTGCCATGGCCTTCGCGCCGTTAACCACCAGTTTATCATGTCTATTGTGCGAGCTGTGGTCTGTCCTATATCAGCCCTGGGAGGCTTACACCACGCTCTCCAAGTGGGTACCGTCTGATTCGGTGTTTGCTCCTTCACACCGCAGCATCCGCGTGGGGCTGTCGGCACTGCAGACTTGAGATGACAGCCGGGGATGTGGGCTGCCGTGGGCTAGGCTTTGCTGCCCACCCGATCTTGCCACACGCTAGCTAGCGGCAGTCTCTCGGGAAGACCCTATTGGTCTGGGTGGTAGCGGTACAGGAACTTGCCGAGGCCGTTTGCTCAGGGACGGCGGGCTCTTGCAATGCGGGGCTCTTGATCACGAAGGGCTGCCCAACTTTTGTTCAGATCTTATATCTCAAAGCGATGTTGTAGAGATGGAACCGCGTGGAGAGCAAGCAAAGTCTTCTTGGCTATCTTTGGTCTATAAGTATACCTAGGTAGTCTAGCAAGAGCTGTTGACGTGTTTAGGGTGGGACAAGACTGAAACACCCATACTCCCCCATCCTCCATCATCAATCATTCATAACAAACCCGACATGTATCATGAAGCCAACCCTCACCTTGTTTTTTCTCTACTGTCACCCTCCACTTCAACTTACCTCACCTCACCTCGCCACCCTCCCCTTCCCGCCGCCGCCGCCGCTCCTCTCCATCTCGCGCAGCGCGTCGCGTACGATTCCCTGCGCCTCGAGCACGACGTCGTCGCCGCGCCGCCACGTGTAGAGCGCGACGCCCTCGCGCGCCAGCACCTCGTGCGCCCGCGTGAGCCGGCCGTGCCAGAGCGCCACCTTTTTGTCGAGCGCCGTCGTCGTCGTCGTCGTCGTCGTTGCCGTGGCCGTTGTCCTCGTGGTCCCGCCCGTGGATACGCGCGAGACGGGGTCGGGCGAGGAGGAAGAGGCCGAGGGGGGGCCGAGGCCCTCGAACCTGTCGACGTCGGTGTCGCTGTTGTGTGTGTATGAGAGCCTGTTTTGCTGCTGCTGCTGCTGCTGCTGCTGCTCCTTCTGCTGTATGTAGGCCAGCATGCGCGCCCCGGAGCTGCCCGATTGGGCCGACGATGGTGTGCCCCGTCGCCGGGGTGGGGGTGGGGCCGGCTTGCTGCCGTCGCCGCCGTTGGCGGGCGGGGACGGAGACGATGAGTAACTGTTGTTGCTGTTGTTGCTGTTGTTGTTGTTGTTGGTGTCGCCACCCGTCGAGGCGGCGGACATCTCCGCCGTCCTCGTCCTCCTGGGCATCGGCTGCGTTTGCACCGAGGACGAGGAGGGTGTCTGCATCTGCGTCAGAGGATGGACGCCTCCGGTGGAACCTCCGAGGTTGGAGGGCTTCTTGGAAAGGACGTGGCCCCCGTGATTCGCTCCCGCGCCCTGGCCGCTGGCGGCGAGCAGGACCGCCAAGTCGGACGGGACGCCGCGTAGCGAGGCCGGTTTGGCGGGCCGCGCCGGGGGCGGGCGTTTGCCTGCTGCTGCTGCTGCTGCTGCCGCTGCCGGCTTGCTCGCGCCGCCGAGGTCGAGGCCCGCGAGACTGAGCGTCTCGCTGTTGGAGGACGGCAGGGGCTCCGGCTCGTCCGACAGGTCGATCAGGTCCCCCATGAGCGGGGCCTCCGTCTTGGGCGGCACGCTGGCGGTCCGGGCGGGGAAGACGGGCCGTCGGGCGACCCCGCCGCCGCTGCTTGGAGGGCGGAGGAGGAGGTGATCGTCAAACGAACCGCCGCCGGCGCCCCTGCGGTTCGAGTCGAAGAAGCCTTGCTGCGGCTGCTGCTGCGGAGGCGTCTCCGGGGTGGTGACATCGCGGATGAAGATGGCCAGGATCCGGCCCGGGTTGGCCTGGGCGAGGTCCGTGTAGACCTCGAGGTCGGCCTCGCCGCTGTCGCCGACGAGCAGGAACCTGCGCTCGGGGAAGTCGGCCATGATGCGCTCGAGCGTGCCCTTCTTGCGCTCGGCCACGGGCTCGAAGATGCCCTGGAGCATGCCGGCGTAGTGCTTGAGGTGCAGCGACCCCGGGGGCAGGCCGGCGCCGTGGAAGAAGGTGGCCAGGACGGGGAAGAGCTGCCAGGGGCTGTTTGAGCAGTAGTGGATCTGGACGCCCATGGAGTGCAGGGCGCCGTACCACTCGCGCGCACCCGGGACGGCCATGTCGCCCAGGTCGCGGATGAAGGTGTTGCGGAAGATCTCGCGCGCGCCGAGCGAGATGTTGGACCGCTTGATGGTGTCGTCGATGTCGCTGATGAGGCTGACGCCGCGCGGCTCGACGACGCGCACCGGCTCCGTGGCCGACAGGTCCTCGTTGGCCAGCACGCGGATGTCGGTCGGCACAAATTCGAGCGCGGCCCGGATGCTGAAGTGGCCGGCGTCGTTGGTCGTCACCGTCTTGGACTGCGACTGCGAGTCGTTGTAGAAGAAGATGGTGACGGGCTGCCGCACCAGCGGCGTCGTCAGGAACGGGCCCAGCCGCGCCATCAGGTTGGCGTTGGCCACCGCGAGCTCCGCCTCGGTCAGGTCCGCCGCCGCCGCCGCCGCCGTGCCGCCCGCCTGCCGCGCCGTTAGCGAGGGCGAGCCCGGCGGCGACACGGCCGGCGTTGCGGCCCCGCTCCTGGGCGCCCTCAGGCTGCTGGTCTCGGAGGCGTCCAGGAGCCGCCTGCTGTTGGGCGCCTCGCTGTACCCGCCGCGCGTCGCCACCTCCTCCTCGCCCCTGCCCCGGCGCTCGATCTCCTCGGCCTCGCGGGCGATCTTTTGCTGCTCGCGCAGGTCCTCGTGCTCCTCGCTCATGGAGTGGTGGGGGAGGCCTCCGTAGCCGTTGTCGTTGCCCCCGGCGTCGGGCTGGATGGTCGGGGGCGGGATGCCGCTCATGCGGCGCGCGAGGCCGATCAGGATCCTGTTCTTCCGCGTCATGGGTCCCTTGTGCGGCGAGTAGACCCAGCCGCGCACGTCGACGTCGACGACCGCCTTCTCGTCCTCCACCTTTGCCCACTCGTTGTGCCAGTACTCCTCGTCGTTCATTGGTGCCTGCGAGGTCGGGTACTGCTGGTGACCTCCCTGTTGACCCTGCTGCTGGTAGGCGGCGGTGGCGCCGCCCCCGCCGCTGCCTATTCGGTTCCCGTCCTTGTCAAACTGCCTGATGTGCCTCTTTGCGTACGACGGGAACAGCACCATCTGCTCGTCCCCCTTGGTGACGATGGCGACGTTGGGGAACGAGCCCGGGATGGTCATCTGCGGGTCGATCGAGTTGTCGACGTTGCGGAAGCGCGTGTTGTTGTACTGCTCGCGCATCTCGCCCGCCGCCGCCACGCCCGCCCGGTACACGCTCCCGGCCATGGCCGCGAGCTTCTTGCGCCGCGCGCCAGACTCGCGCGTCGAGCCGTCGGACCCATCCCTGCTGCTGCCGTAGCCGTAGCCCCAGTATGATCCCGCCGACGACATCTTGCCCGTGTGGTCTTGTGCGAGTTGTCGTACTTCTTCGCTGTCCTGCTCTTCTGCTGAATATTTGGGGTTCTGGTCCTGTTCCTTCGGCAAGCCGCAAGCAGCGACACCGCTGCCGCCACCACTATTTCCGTCTCGGCCGCGCGCCTCAGCCCTAATCGCAGCCCTCCCCGCCCTCAGCTGGCGCCGGACGAGGGCCGAGGTCCGCGCGAGGGCGGCCCTCCTCGCCGCCTCCGCCTCCTCCTCCTCGCGCTTCTGCCGGGACGCCCACCACCGGCGCCCACCAGCGAGGTCCAGTAGCCTGCTGCTGGCAGACCGCCGCTCGCCGGCGCGCCTCTGGGTCCAGCGGACGAGGAGCCGGTACAGCCGCGACTGCAGCCGGTGCTTGTAGAGCGGGAGGACGTCGAGTCGGAAGCGGAGGAGCTTCTCGCGGTACCGCTGCGGAACGAGGCTCGGGCTTTGAGGTGGGCGGTGGTAGTACGAGGGCAGAGGGAGTTGTCGCCGCGGCGCGCGTTGGGAATCGACCGTCGTCGGGCGTGGGAGACGTGGCGCTGCTGTCGGGCTCTCCTTGTTGAACCGTAGGAAGCGCCAGGGGCCGGGGCGTGGCTTGAGAGGAGCCAGCTTGGTTCAGAATGGAGGCCCGCTCGAGAGCCGCTTATATAGGTAGTTGTGCAGTTGTTGTATAAAGGTGGAAGGCACAGATTTATGTTGTACAATTAGAAACAAGGCCAATCGCCGTCTCGCTGGCGCCTCTGCGTGGCCTGGCAAGGCTGGACGGCCGAATAATGACCAGAGCTCAACTCGAAAGAAGCAGGCTTGACGGCAGCGGATGACAGCATGCGGCAGCCTGGGCGGCGGCCTGGGGTTTAGGGGACCCTGTCGTCGTCGTCAGCGGGCACCAGAGTCCCACAGGCCCACAGCCAACGAAAGCCAAGCCTTGGACGGGCGTGCTCTGGGCCTTCGCTGCCAGCCTTTACCGGGCGGATTGGGAGCTGTCGCAAGGGAAAGGCAGGAGAATAAGACGGAACATCACGTTGGGCTGGCAGATGTTTGAGAGACGCCCTGCTATTGTGACGGCTTGTGCGCATGATGTTTTGGCGGGCACAATTCCAGCACGTGTCCGAGGCCGTCGAGGCGGCTGTGAGACAGTTGAGCCCCGAGGGTGTGACGATACCAGCTCCTGTGGGGGCTGGCAGTTAGCGGGGATCCCTGCGCTAATGTGCTGCGAGTGTTGAGCCTGGACTGTTTACGTCACCACTTGCTTATACGCAATGCAATGAAACACCAGGCCTTATGTATACCAATGTCACTCCACAGGTAGTCACAGAGAATATGCTGGGCAACTACTGAGCTGCTTGGTAGGTATCTTATACAGCGCTTGTAGTTTAGTGCAGCAGTCAAGTACGTGTACAGGGGTCTACCTCTTGCCCTTGCCCTTGGGCCCCGCACTCCTGCCCTTCTTGACCACCCTCCCGCTCGCCACGCCGCCGATGGGCCCCTTCTTCTTGCCAGGCCCGGCCTTCTTCCCCCCCTTTAAGTTGAGCACGGCGCCCTTGCCGGCCCGCTCGGCCGCGCCCTTCTTCCATACGCGGGCGCCCGACGCCTCAGCCTTTGCGTCGAGCTTCTTCTTATCCTTGTTGCTGAGGGAGCCGCCGCCGTGCTTCTTCTTGAGCGCCTCGCGGACCCCGTTGAGCTCGGCCCGCCCGGCCTCGCGCGCCGCCTTCTTGTCCTTCTCCGTCTCGAACCACGTCCGTCGCGGCCGCGCCTTGATCTCATCCTCGTGCCGCATCATGTTCTCGCCCTTGCGCACCTGCATGTCCGCCTGCCACAGCACCTTTTCCTCCTTCTCCTCCTGCATCACCGCCTCCACCTCGCCCTCGAGCTCGTCCACCTTGTCCTGCCACCCGTCCGCGTCGGCCGCCTCGATGATGCGGCTGCTGATCTTGGCCCCCTGCGCCTTGCCCGCCTTGACTGCCGCCTTGACCACCTTTCGGTCCGGCTCGGCCGCCAACGTCACGGCCACGCCGCTCCGGCCCGCTCGCGCGGTACGGCCGACTCTGTGCACGTAGATCTCCAGGCTCTGGGGAGCCTCGTAGTTGATGACTGTGTCTACGCCTTTGATGTCGAGACCGCGCGAGGCGAGATCGGTGGCTAGCAGGAATGAGACCTTGCCGTCACGGAAGTCCTCGACACTTTGGATACGCTGATTTAGGATAGATAAGTTAGCATAGGTTCATCAACAGTATTATAGCTGAAAATGTGCTCCATACCTGTGTCTGGTTCATGCTTCCGTGGAGTTCTGCGCACGACAGGCCAAGCAGCCCAAAAATGATGCGCGCATGGTGCGCAATCTTCTTTTGCCGGAAGAAGATGATGACGCGTTCCGTGTACAGCTTCTTACAGAGGTGGACGAGGTAGCCCATGCGCTTCTCCTCGCGGCCGGGCCGCAGGCGCACAAACTCCTGTACCAGCGTGCCGACCGTCTTCTTCTGCGAGTCCACCATGATGCGGACGGGCTTGTTGAGCCCGGCGCGGATCAGGGTGTCGACCGACGACGTCATGGTGGCCGAGAAGAGCATGGTCTGGCGCGACTTGGGCAGCGTGGTCAGGATCTCGTTGAGCTCGTCCGCGAACCCGTCCTCGAGCATCCGGTCGGCCTCGTCCAGGACCAGGATCTCGACCGTGTCGACGGCGAAGCTGGCCGAGTTGCGCATGTGGTCGATGAAGCGGCCCGGCGTCGCGATGATGACGTCGGGCCTGAGCCGCAGCTCGGCCTCCTGCACCTTGAGACTCAGGCCTCCGACGGCCAGACAGAACTTGATGTCGGTGTGGCTCGCGAGCTTGATTGCCACGGCGTGGCACTGGATGGCCAGCTCACGGGTCGGCGTGAGCACCACGACGCGGCTCGTCGGCACCTTCTTGGGCCGGTACAGCAGACGCTCCAGGATGGGCACCATGAAGGCTCCTGTCTTGCCCGAGCCCGTCTGCGCGCCGCCGACCACGTCCTTGCCCATGAGAGCCATGGGGATCGCCTTGGCCTGGATTGGCGTCGGCTTGCCGAAGCCCACGCTCGCGAGACCTCGGAGGATCGGCCGCGACAAGGACATGCCCTGGAACGACGCCGCGCCGCCTTTGCCCTTCTCCGCCTTGGGCTCCTCGGCGGCGAAGAAGTCCTTCTGCCTGGCAGCCTCCTCCGCGTCCTCCTCGTCGTCCGATTCTGATTCCGACCCGGCGTCGTCTGGATGGGGCACGGGGCTGGCTACCTCGTCGTCGTCTTCGTCCTCTTCGTCGGAACCGCCCACCTCAGATTTGTCTTCGGGTGTAGCCTCCTCATCGGACTCGTCGTCAGAGCCAGCGCCCATTCCGAATGCATCCTTTGCTAGGACCTCATCGTCGTCGTCGTCAAGGTCGATGTCGTCCTGGGCGGCTTCGTCGTCGTCGTCGTCGTCGTCGCCAGCCTCGGCGGCTGCAGGCGCGGCGGGCTTGCCTTCCTTCTTCTCTCTTCTCCTGCGGATGATCTCATCTAGATCCACGCCTCTGCTCTCACCCATGGCCTTTTTGGCGCCGTCAAAGCCCCAGCCCTCAAACTCCGCGGCCACGTCCTCGGTGCCACCAGTCACGAACTCAAAGTCGGAGTCCATGGCACCGTCGTCGTCCTCCTTAAAGCCCCAGACACCCTCTTCTGGCTTCTCCTCCTCATCGTCGTCTGCCTCACCCGCTTTCGCTCCCTTGCCCGGCTTTTTCTTTGCCTTGACCTTTTTGGCCGTTTTGGACTTTTTCTTCGGCGGCGAGTCCTGGATCACCTCGTGCTCCTCGGCGAAGTTGTCGCCCTCGTTGTCGGATATTGTGAGGATGAAGTCATCGTCAGCTGCTTTCCTCTTGGTTGAAGGCGCCATGTCTGCGGTAATGCCAGGGTTGCTAGCCTTTATGGACAGCTTCGAGGGGTTTCGCGACAAATTTGGCAGCATCGCGACGGAACTTTTTTTCGTCTGGCGGCAACGATAAGCTCCACATTAGTTTGATAAGACTTTTTTGGCCGCCCCACAGCGGGCACATTCAGCCCAGCTCGTGCAACAGGGATATTCTCAGGTGGCATACTCAGGGGCTAAACTTGATCAGGCATAAAGTTTCAGCGTCAGCGCCGACTTGTAGAATAGGAATTTGACTAAAAGGTTGGCTGTGAATGTTAAAAGTTTCTTCATCCGCAAAGTTTGAAGAAGACGCCATGATCACAACTGACCCAAAAATGCCGCGAGAGAAAGAGAGAGACATAGAGAGAGAGATACAACACGTTAAACAATCTTCCAAAGCGCACCAACCGAGACCCTAGCTGTCCTCACATGAGATTCCAGCCTAAAAGCTCACCCCTTTACGCAATAGGTTTCTCGCTATTGCTGTCCACCTGGCGCTCGCTCGCATTCTGTAACATCTCTTTGAACAGCGGGCCCAGGGCCTCGACGACGAGCGTCACATCAGGCGCCTCCCGGTAGCCCCCGCGCGCCTCGTCGTCCTGCCCGAGCCTGATGTGTTCCAGCCGTTCGGCGAGATCCTGTGACGCGCCCTTGTTGCCGTCCTTGACCTTGCCGCCCGTCGCGGACTTGCCCGCGGCCGTGGCGCCTCTGACGTCCCGCCCGCGCCGCACCGGTCCTCTGATAGGCGCCGAGGCCGTAATCAGCGCCTCGTCCATGAGGTCCCGCCACCGCACCAGCGAGCGGCCGGGGCCCGACTGCGCGCCGAGGACGACGACGGCGGGCTGTGCGGCGCCACCGCCGTTCCCGTTCTTCTTTCTGCTCCAAAGGCTGCCCCTGCTGCCGCCGTTGCTGCCCCCGCCGCTCTTGTCGCTGGCCCTGCTGCTGCTGCTACTGCTCCGCCTGGAGCCTTTCATGTCGTCCAGCACGGCCTGCATCCGCCTGGACGACTGCTCGTCGAGGATCTCCAGGTACATCTCGTGCCTTTCTAGAAGCGGCGCGACCTCGGCTTTCGTCGCCGGCGGCAGCGCGGCGAACATGGCTTGGAGGGCTGCAGACATGGCTCCTGCGCCGCCTGCTCGATCGTGACCGTTTTTCGCTGACGGCCTTGCAACGCTTATCCCCGACTCTGCGAGTGCAGCTGTTGCCGCGACCGTCCAGTTGACATGTTGGCCTCTGGCGGCCTCTGGCGACGCGACGCGGAACTCCTTGATGGAGTTGTTGCACCAGTCGCGGAACTCCTCGCGCATCTCCGGGCAGCCCTTGGCCACGTGGTGCAGGAACTTGTACAGCATGTGTTTATTGCGCTGCATCAGGTCGACAAAGTCGGTGACCGACGGCGGCTGCCCGGGCGTCGCCGTCCCGGACGCCGCCGCCGCCGCTGGCCTCTTGCCCCGGCACGTCTCGATGAGCTCGGTGACGAAGCTCTCCAGGTCGACCATGTGCTCGTGCAGCGGCACCTTTGCGTGCATCTCGCGGATGAGGGGGTCGCACGCCGCCACCACGTCGCGCAGCAGCCGCGTCGGCAGGTCCGGCCGCGACCTGCACAGCACGCGCGCGATCTCGTCGCGGTCCCGCATCGACAGTCGCGCCGAGTAGTACTCGAGCAGCGCCGCGTGCCTCTCCGGGCCGCCCTCGAGCAGGTCGGCCGCCAGGTTGGGGTCCGCCATCTCCAGGATGGCCATGACGATGGACTGCTTCTTCATGATGCTTATGGTGCGGATGCGCTCTTGTTCTTCCCTCGGCCTGGAAAGGTGCTCCTCGATTGCTGCGAGCTCTGCCTTGGAGGGACCGGCCAGTGACTTTTTGACCTTCTCTGCTGCCTTTTTGAAGTCCACGCTGTCCCACGAAAGAATCATGGAGACGATTCTGCCAGCTGTCAGTATGATGCTATTCGGGTGGAGCTCGGGTTTGTTTCTCGCTTACCTTTGAAGCAGAGTAAGGCCGTCGTCGGCATCAGTCGTCGCGCCGATCCAGTTGGAGATGGAGCCTATGCTAAATTTCCCTAGGAGAAGCGTCACGAGGCCGTTGATCATGGTGGCCGCGTTGGCCAGCCGCAGCGTCTGCCTTATCATGGAGTACGGCAGAAGCTTGTGGAGGTTCTCGATCATCTTGACGAGGTACTGGCCCTCTGGCGAGACCACGAATATCTGGTGCATGACCGCTGCCAGGTGCAATATTATGTAGCGCACTGCAGCCTCTGCGACCGGCGAGTGCGCCTCGAGGTCCTCGTTCTCAATCTCCCAGTCGACCAGCTCGTCGATGAGGTCGCCGTACACAAGCCCCTGCAGGAGGTCATCCCAGGCCTTCTGGAGCGACGCGGCGCTGGCCATGTCGTAGCTGGTCTGCCGCAGCTGCCCGCCGATGCGGACGTGCTTGGCGTGGCCTCCCAGGCAGCCCCGCGTGGCGGACTCGATGACAGATGACGCGATGGTGCTGAGGGTTCTCCTAGCACCCACAGCGCCTTTGTCGTAGCTCTCGGACAGGTTGGCCTCGGCAAAGCTGCCGAGGACGCCCTGCAACTCCACGCTCCAGAAGTCCTGGGACAAGTTGCGGACGCCGACGAAGGGCAGCCCAAAGGTCATGACGAGATGCTGCAGCACTGGAGCTGCGGAACGGGGCGCGGGCCTACCGTCGCCGCGCACGAAGGGCTCGCCATACTCGGATATGGTTTTGGGATCCCTGAAGTCGCGGATCTCGCTGTACGCCTGGTAGTGCGTCAGGATGTCGAAGAGGGCGTGCAGCTGCGCCGGTGTGAGGGCGTCGGCGTCGGCGTCGGCACGGATGTCGACGGTCATTTTGCTGTTGTCGTGAGTGCAGCTTGTGGAGGGAACGTCGACGGTGGCTTCTTCTAGTGTGTTCAAAAGCCCGAGTGGGTGAGGTGGTGGTGGTGATGAGTCCATTGCTGTGACGGGCGGATGAGCTCTGGTAGATGAGGCTTTTGTATCTTCAGTCTTGTTGGTGCTCTTTGCGATATCTCACGACTCGCTGCTGGCGATGGTGCGCGGCTGCGACAAACGCCATGGCCGTGATTTGAATTGCCTCGGCGGAACTGGCACGAGGCGGTTGAGACGAGATAAAATTCTCCGCTGGATGTTTCTAAGAAAAGCACCAAAGAGCGGCATCGACAGCGGAAGCGAGGCTCTGAGCGTATCGTCGAAACTCTTGGGACGATTTCCTCAATATGCGAGGGCCTCGGCGCTTCTCAGCTCTTCTCAAGCTCGCCTAGCGCAGATAAGACGCTTCCACGTTTAGAACGCTCGCGGATTTCATACTCTTCAGACGGGAGAGGCGTCCAAGGTGGCTTGGGCCAGAATCACACCGTTTCTGCGGCCACTGCCAAGGTGGAGTTAGTGGACATTTGTACGGCGGCTGCTGCATTAGGGCCGATGTGTGTCCCTGGGTGCCGCGAGATTCGCCGCGCATGAAACGGGCACAGGGCCAATGGTGTTTCCGGGCAGGGAAACAATTGGGCTCCCAGCAGAGCGGCAGTCACGCATTTTCACCACCGACCCTTGGCCAGGCGTCACCTGGGCAGCTCCAGCTGTGGCGGCCACATGCTCAGTCCATCCATGACATCTACATTTTTGGGCCATGAGATTCTCTGACATTGACCAGATGGGGCAATTCCAACGCTCCATTCATCAGTGGCATGGGATATCGTCTCCAAGAAGGATCTCAAATCGCCGCGTCGCACCATCGGCCTATAAGGCTGACTCGCATAGCGTCTGGAGTCACTCAACGCGACAAGCGTGTTCTAGATTCTGAGATGCGACTGTCAAGTACCTCGGCCCTTGATTCAGCGCGGAACCCGAATTCGAGCCCACCGGACTTCAACACGACAATACCCGTGACAGGTCTTCCAATCAACATGGCCAGAGCGTCGCCGTCAAAGACCTGAAGCCGTGCAAAGTTTCGGGATATTATAAGAACAAGCCTCGCCGTGCCGCGCTTTGCGCCCTTCGTCTGATGCTGCCGCTGCCGGAAGGCGTGGGCACAAGGCGAGGCTATCACAGCAAGACGTTTGCCCATGTATTCTCAATCCGCAACATCGTATCAACATGTCACGCATGCTTGTCAAGTGCCAGCACCATGGACAAAATGTTTAGTTTGGGAGCACGCGACAGGGAATAAGTGAACGTATTTTCAAGCCAAGCCCGTAAGTGAGAAAACCCCATGAGATGAGCGGAATGGAGCTGAGTCGAGACATCGCTGGGGGTGCCAGATTGGCCTGGGGATGTAGACCAAATGCGGTCAAGCTTGTCAGCCAAGGCCACGCGATACAAGATGCAGTTACGAGATCAAATAAGTGTCAGCGAATTAGTTAAATATGAGGGCTTCACTCAGAGTGGGCTTTACGGTTAGTACTGGCAGCGGCAATCCTCGGCCTAACCAGCATCCAGCAGTTCCCCGGGCATTAGTGACAACTCGGGGAGAAGTCAAGCCTCGACCCCACCACCACGACAACACTGATCCCTGCAGGCCTAGCACCTCGGGGGAGAACCTAAACGCACGCTGTTGATACCCACCAAGACACTTGCCCCTGCCCCTGTCTAGCAGATGCACCGTATGTGACGCCATAGCAGCTGCAAGTGCGTGCCCGCGCAGAGGTGCCAGCGACGGTCTTGGTTGGCGAGCCGAGGCCGTCCCTGCAGCTAATTCGGTGGCCACGGCGCTACTTGGCCTGCATTTGTCAAGAGCCACTCACCTGTTGGCTCATACCTGCTCGCGGGCATGTCGTGCGGGCGCTCTGCCATGGCCTGCGGCCGATTGGCGTCCCGCCTTGCGGGTGGATATAATAAACCCCGCGGCACGCCTGCCCCTGTCGTCACTCCCGCCAGCTCCCCGGCACCAGCAGCTGTTTCAACCGCCCCCCACACTCTCCGCCGAGCATCACGACAACAGCACCGGTGCTACAAGTACTACTCCCCTCGGTCTCGTTTCGGAACCTCCCCTACGCAGAACTCAACCACCACGCCGGTAGACACACCTACGCGCACCACCACCATGTCGTCCGCCGCAGAAGCGACCAAGGCCCACGAGGCGCTTCTCAAGCGCAACCCCCACGGCAACTTCGGGGCCGTCGAGGCCTCGCGCCCGCCCTTCGACGCGGCCGCCTCGCTGCGCTACACGCAGACGCCGCAGCCCGGCTGGAAGCAGGGCGGCGGCGCCAACCAGTTGCAGGCCGTCGCGCCAGCCGACCACATCACCATTGCGCCGTACGAGGAGGGGCGGGCGGCGCACCTCAACTACAAGCTGCTCATCAGCGCCATAATCCCGCGACCTATCGCCTTCGTGTCCACGGTCGGCAAGGATGGGTCGGGCGAGGAGAACCTGGCGCCCTTCTCGTACTTCAACATGATCAACCACGACCCGCCCCTTTTCGTCGTCGGCTTCGCCAGCCCGTCCGAGGGCGCCGCCGCCAAGGACACGGTCCGCCACCTGTCCGAGACGGGCGAGTGCGTCATCAACATCATCTCGGAGGGCTACGTCGAGGCCGCAAACGCCGCGTCGGTCAACGCCCCCGGCGACGCGTCCGAGTGGCTCATCTCGGGCCTGACGCCCGCCCGCGACACGGTCGACGTCAGGCCGCCCCGCGTCAAGGAGGCCATCTTCAGCATCGAGGGCAAGGTCGAGAGCCTGCGTGAGTTCAAGAGCAAGGCCGTCGCCGGCAAGACGTCGGGCACCATGGCCGTCATCGAGGGCGTGCGCTTCTGGGCCCGCGGCGACGCCATCAGCGAGGCGCGGGACATGATCGACCCTGCTGTAAGTACCGGAGCCCCTTTTTTTTGTGTCATGGCTGCGTATGGGTTTCCCTTGCTAACCAACGTTTTCCTCTCTTCTGCACAGGTCCTCCGTCCCATAAGCAGGCTTGGCGGCATCACCTACGGCCGGACCACAGAGGCCTTTGAGCTTCCCAGGCCAGATTTCGAAAAGGACGTGGGTGGACAGGAGGGCATGGCCAAGCTCAAGGACGTTGCAGCAGCCAAGAAGTAGACCTCTTTTGTGAGTGGCCTCCTACACAACGCCGCAGCATCATAAACTGCCTACCCATAGAAAGTCAGCAATAGAAAGAATAAAGAAATAAAGATTCAGCAAAACTAAGCGGATCGGGAGGGTCCCTGTGTCACACGGGGATCGACCCCGCGGACTCCCATTAGGCCGATTGGTCCCTTAAGGGCCAGTAAGGGGGCAGTAATAACTAGACGCCCTGGGATTGGGGCGCCTCCGGCTGGCGCAGGCAGGCTGGAAATTTTATGGTGTGGGAGATGCCATTCTCTTTGGACACATTCGGTGCAGGCACACTCTAAGCAACGTTCTGACCTCCGGAGGTTCGTCGCCTGCCTTCGGTGCGAGCTGGAGCTGGCCTATCATAGGTGGTAGTCTGGAGGCATGGAAGAGTCAACATTGCGCATTTGTATGCAGGCTACGCCCGGCTTTCCAAGAGATTGGGCGGGGGATTGGGAAGGCGGTCAACGAGCTCTTCGCACTCTTTCCCATCCATAGATTTAGCAGCACTGTCCGCTAGCTGTATCACCCGAAGACATCGCCGCTCTTTTAGGCATCAATCCGCAAAGACTTACGCTCTCATGTGCATTCTGGCATCTTGTCGCGTGCTAAAAGAATACTCATCCGGCCAAAAAGCGAATCTCCTGCTGCGCATCCAGCAGTGCCTGCAATAAACCCAACCGCAGAAGACATGACATCGACGGAGCTCACAGAGACTGCCGCTAAGTGGGCGGTCCTAATTGGGATCGACAAATATGCTCCAGAAGACGCGGCGGGGAAGAAAAAAGCGAATATCGGTGTCGGGACACGAGATCCAAGGCCCAATGGACCTCAACGGCTGTGTCAATGATGCTTTGGCGGTTAGAGAGTATCTGATGAACACCATGAAGATGGATCCCAAAAACATCAAACTGCTCCTCGCGCCTGCCAAGGCCGAAGCCCGCGAGTACAAGCATGAGCTGCCTGCCAGCTACGAAGAACCAACTTACGTTAACATAGTGAGGGCGCTGGCGAAAGTGCCGACTTACGCCAAGCGAAACGACCTTGTCTTCGTACACTACTCGGGCCACGGCGGGCGCGCAACAACCGTGTTTCCCGACCTCAAGCACAAAACAGGCGACGATATTGACCATTGTCTGGTGCCGACGGACATAAGGCGCAGTAATGGCCGCTATCTCCGCGACATAGAGCTCGGCGCCCTTCTGCAGGACATCGTGGCTGCCGGGGCGGTGTTGACGGTGGTGCTCGACTGTTGTTACTCGGGTGGCGCGATCCGCGGCGACGACGACAGCGGTGATGACGAGGACATGGCCAACGTCCGGGGCGAAGAGAGGATCTATAAGTCTGACGAGGTTGTAGACACGCAGCTAGCGCCGGCATCAACGGAGAGCATTACACGCTGGGGTTCCGTTCCCCTGTGGATGGAGGCGCCCAAAGGCTTTGTCTTGCTCGCCGCCTGCCTGGACTACCAGAAGGCCAAGGAGAAGAAACAGACGATTCAGGGAAGAAACGGCGCAGGCAAAAGTCAGAAGCTTTGGCACGGCCGTCTAACCTACGAGCTCCTGGATACGCTTCGCGCCTCCGCTCCAGGCCTTAGCTCGACCGCTATCTACGATCGCCTGCGGGCAAAAGTCCAAAACCGAGTCGCCGAACAAACTCCCTACCTCGTCGGCGACAGCGACCGCTTCTTTTTTGGCCCCGCCTACAGGGCCAGGGTCTATGCCGTTCCGGTGAAGTTTGTCGAAAAGGACAACAAGCAGCTAAATCTGGATGGCGGGCGCTTCCACGGCGTCCAGCTCGGCGCTGAATACTGGATTCTACCGCTGGACTTTGAACTTCACAAACATATCCGTGCCGAGGATGTACTGGCTCGCGTAAAAATCCTGGAAGTTCAATCGGGTGTTTCGACCGCGGAAATCCTTACCAGCCCAACACCCAAGTCTGGAATCGAAGAGGGCTGCCTAGCAGTACTGCTAAGCTTGCCGCTTACCGCGCAGGCGACCGTCTGCTTCGTTGCGGCGGACAATAACCAAAGGAGGTGGTTTGAGGATCTCTGGAACAAGCAAACCAAAAGCCGCAACCTACTCCAGCTCCTGAAACAGGACGACCTCGAAGCCGACCCCGTGTTCACCGTCACCGCCAAGAACGGCCGCTTCCAAGTCCGAGATCGGCAGGGAGCCCTTGCAGGCGCGATGGCGGACGTGTTGCGCCCGCTGCGCTGCCCAGACGCAGACGACGCCGAGCTGCTGCGCCCGCTGGCGCGGCGGCTGGAGCACATCGCACGCTACCACATGCTCCGCGGCCTCGAGAACAAAGGGTGGCAAGCGGGCGCGGCTGGCGACCTTGTCGATGTCCACATCGCCCCGTCGCCACCGGACCTCTCGCTCCCTCCCTCGCTCCGCGCGGCCGAGTCCATGGTGCCGGCACTGGACGGCGCGTACGAGGTGCCGGAGAAGCGCGTGTTTCGCATCACGCTGACAAATAGAGGCGACAAACCCATCGCCTGCACGATCCTGAACTTCACGCCCGAGCTCGGGATCGAGATCATCTACCCCATGGAGGAACGCGCCACCTATATGGTCATCCCTGGGTTTAAGAAAAGGTACCAGGATTTCCACGTCTCCATCCCTAAGGCCCTGCGGCAGACGGGGAGCGGAGAGGCAGAGACAGGGAATATAGCGACCGTTAATCCAGAGAGGAAGATCATGGACGACTTGTTCAAGGTGCTGGTGTCGAGACCCGAGCTGGACCCGGGGCCGATGCGGCTGACGAAACTACAAAAGGCGGAGGAAAAGGGCTACAACTACCGAGGCGAGGAGGATGACGAGAAGGACGCGTCTTCGTTGAACACGCTCGAGGAACTCCTGAGCGCGCTCATGCCGCTGATGCGCAACGGCCATGCTATCGAGAGCTCGAGGGGCATGGATGACGACCCCGTCGAGTGGCAGGTCAAGGATATATACATCCGAGCGCTGCGGTCGCGCTAGAAAAAAGCTACAATTGTTGGGGGGATCCGTCTGCTCTAAGTGCAACTTTTGGCTGCCCCAACTCAAAACTATACCTCCCAACTTCCCTCCCGTCGTTGCGCGATGGCCTTTGCCACACGTTATGACTAGAAGCTGCCCATCCTCGATCATTTGTGTACGTTATCCCATTTAATCCCAGGCATGTGAAAACCAGGGATCCGGTCTCCTCTCAAGCCCCTAAACCTCGCCATAAGCCTCGGTGCAGCCGCCTTCGTCCTCTTAGTCGTCTCCGGGAAGGCCCTCAATCTCGCTGTGGCCATCATAGGAAGAGCCGTTGAATCGTTCCTCGCTCTTTTGACTGTCCCCGTAAAGGCTTTTGACCTCAACCTTGCTGTGATCGGACGGGCCCTTGATTATATCCACGCTCTCCTCCTCGCCGTATCATGGTGGTGCACGACGAGGAAGTAGCTCGTTCTGGTGCTTTGATTAGGGCTTGAGCTACTCCTCGTACTTCTCGCCGGCCGGCATGGCCTGCTGCAGGCCCTCCTCCACTGGTCGCACCGGACGCGGCGATACGCGACGGCGTAGACGTTGATAGGGCCGCCGTCGAAGATCAGCTCGAAGCCGCACACGAGGTAGACTGCGAGGTCGCCGTCGTTGTTGTGGTGGTGGTGGTGGTGGTGGCCCTCCTCCATACCGTCGCCGCCGAGCCACGGGGAAGGGGACAGCTGGGCCTCGAGCCAGGCGCGCACCCCGAGGTCGGCGGCGCAGGCGGCCTCGAAGAAGCCGTCCGGGTCCTTGAGGCGGCTCAGGCCGCAGTAGCGCGCAGGGTCGTCGTCGGCCGCTGCCGTTGTCGACGATGCCCCTCCTCCTCCTCTGAACGACAACAGGCGGCGCAGGCTCGCCTCGAGCCGCGTGCTGCTGCTGCCGCCGTGTCGCGCGGACTCGAACCTCTTGTCCCAGTCTACGAGCTGCACCTCGCCCGCCGCGCTCTGCAAGATGTTCACTCGCTGCTCCCGCCGCTCGGGCGGGTCCTGCAGCCACTGCCGCTCCTGGTACTCGGGCATGTACCGGCGTACCGGGTCGTCGTACTCGGGGTCGCCGTGCGGGGGCTGGTACGGATGGTTCCGGTGGTGGTCGCAGCATTCGTCATCTTATGGCAGCTGGTCGACGGCGATGATGGCCTGGATGCGCTCGCCACCCGGATAGAGCGACGGGTTGTAGTAGCTCAAGCTTGGACGCTTCGGATCGCGAACGAGCTGGCCTAGCGCAAGGGAGGCCAGCGGGAGCGGGTGCTCATAGAGCATGCTAGTGGGTAGGTCGTTTGGCATGATGGCTGAAAAAGGTGTGTGCTATGTGCGGCGCGAATGGAATGCTGGGAGTTTAGACGGGAAAATTTGACGGCACAGAAGCGACTGCTAGTGCTAGTATGGAAAACTTTTCCGAGGCGGATTTTTTATTCGTTGTATGTTGTATTTGAGGAAAAGGTGACCTGAAGAAAAGGCTGACTGGAATGCTGGTGACTTTATTGGCGGAGCTCGCACCCCGCGTTCTGCATTTTTATAGACGCGGCTTTTCAGAGAAGCTCAGGCACCAAAATCTTTATTTTCCTGTCCACGTTGAGCGCAGATTTATCCGTGTTGAATCTATAGTTATTTTGACAAGAAACACGTCAACTACCAATACATGGGGAAACAAGCTATCCTGCCAACCATGGGACACATGAAACGCCCTAGTTCTTCTGCTCGGGGAACTTCCACGTCTTGTCGATGGTCGGGGCGCCCTTGCAGGCACCTTCCGTCGTCAGGCCCAGGTTGCACCTACGGTACAACGACCACTTGTCCAGGCTTGAGAACCACACTTTGCTACAGGCGGGGACCTGGTAGAACTCGGGGTCGTTGGTGAGGTTGCGCTGCCACGGGGGAGAGAATATTTGTCAGCAAACAAGTACGTAGTATGACAACCTCAAGGCCGAGACGGGGAAACTTACGCAGTTCGGCGTCTCCATAGAGTAGACGCAGCAGGCGTGGCCGTGCCGATCAGGCCCATGGTGCGGCGTGCCCTCCGTGCACTTGCAGCTTGCCTTTCATGTTTCGTTTGGGCGTATAAGACCCCTATCAACAGTGGTTCTGATTGTCCTAGCTGTTTTGATTGCTGTGCCAGCCTTGCCACTTCGCCATTTTAGCCATTCCCCTCTTGGCCCGGTAAGCTTGGGATTGCACGTAGAGTCGGGCAGCTTTATGCCCGACAGTGATTGGGGCGCAAAGGTAGGGCAACCACTCCGCCTCTCGTAGTTTGAGAGGTGGCGTGCTTGGTATGCCACATTTCGATGCACGTATTCTCCAGTCAGGACGAAGAACCAAGCTGGCGCCAATTGTATTTTGCAAAGCTCCTAGCCTGCTGCGATGGCTTCAGCCATTGTGTAACCGCACCCTTTTCTCGGCAGAAAACAGCAAGGGGCCCAATCCTAATATCACCCTGCTCCCCTCCCTGCTTTCTCTCCCGTTTCTTTTGCGCACCCCACCATCCCTCACATACACCCAGGGTCCCTTTCCCTGCTAACTTCGTCTTTTTTCCCAAGCCGTACTTTTTCTCCGTCCTTGGCTTTTCCCTGATTCTTTTTCAGGTTTTAATTTTTTATTTTTGTTATTACATAACTCCCACAACGAGAATTTCGCAGTGCTGGCCCATCTAAGTTAGTACTGGGAGATCAGTTGCACAAATTGGATTCCAAGGCGTCCAGAAACGAACGCCTTTGAACCCTGCGGCCTGGTGGCTGTCCTTGGCAAAATATCCTAGCGCGGCACCTCGAAACATCTCTTTTTATTCCCGATTCTTTTGTATTTGCACGACCATAGCATTGAGCCTAGACTTGGTCTAGAAGAGGAGTGGAGATGGGCTTTGGAGAGGAGATGGGCTTTGGAGAGGAGATGGGCTTTGGAGAGGAGATGGGCTTTGGAGAGGAGATGGGCTTTGGAGAGGAGATGGGCCATGGAGGCGAGCCATAGAGTGACAATGGAGATGTGGGATCCGAAGGCGCCTGGATTCCGCCCAGTTCCGCGCGCTTCCGCATGGCAGCCTAACTCGACCTGCCTTGTATGCACAGTTGAGTACGCTTATCCCGAGGGGTTCGAACTTAAGCTGGTAGACGACTCTGGGGCTGCGTCGTGTGACGGCGAAATCTTGCCAAGATTTCATCATTGCCAGTCATTGCCTGTGTGGCTGCCGCTGCATACAGCCCATCTCTGCAAAGCCTGACTGCAGCCCGAGTCGCCGGGTACCTGTTCCGGCATGGCCTAGAGCCTGGCCTCTCTGTGCTCCCTACGTGCGCTCCATGGAGCGTTTCCCCCTACACCATATTCTGGTTCTGGTTCACTGGTTAAGACCTCCCCCGTCTGGCCGAGCGAGGCAGCTTTCACAATCCGTCCGACCTAAGCGAGAAAAACAAAAACCCAACCACGACCAGTGGCAGTCACAATGAGAAAGAAAATTGACTACACAGTTTTCGCAAACTGAAGCCCAAGTCGAATTCAGCCGACCATTATCACCAAACGCCACCATTAAAATGGAAGTTCCAAACGCGCAGGATGGCAAGCTTAAAAGCTTGCTGGACAGCATGGATGAGGATGAGGTGTTGTTGATGGCGACGGCTTTCCACATCGACGAAAATCCCGGCGCGCAGACGATTAGAGACCAAATAAAACAAAGGCTGGACAGCATTGACGGGGGAGGCACCCTCCATCACGGTCCCGGTCTGCGAACGCTTCGTGGCGCGGAGAGAGCCGTCTTTGCCTTCATGGATGACAACACGCTGCGCAAGCTTGCGACCAGCGCTGATTGTAGCTCTGGGTCGCTCTTGACGGCACACGGAGCCTGGTGTGCTCTTCATGAGCGCACCGGGGCAGAATGCGACCTTGACAAGGCCATCCAAGCAGTCGAGCGCCTCTCGTCGAAGCCGGCAACAGGCGAGGGCCTGAGAGTCTTGCAGGTGAAGTGCAGTAGTTGGGCAGCGGTTTTGTTCCATCAGGAATCCAAAAGACGACCGCTGCTCGCACAAACCGGCGCCAGAGCGATGGAAAGCCAGGTCTACCTGGACCGCGCCAAGCATCTGATGCAGATGGCCATCCAAAGCACGCCCGATGACGGTGGCGATATCCTTGGTCGCCCCATACGGCGCCTCACAAGATTTGTGATGGTAGTTGAAGTTACCACACATTTAGCTCAGCTGCTCAGGCTTATATGCCTCGAGAAAGGGGTAGTTATCTCAATGAAGGGGAGCAACAGTAGGTCTCCCCAGCTCCCCTCGAAAACAAACAGAGATTGCCATTCAAATATTTGGTCTACTGCCGCTTAGAAGCTAAATGGAGCACACACAACAATAGTCACGTACTTACCCCCTTCGGGTGACATCCGACTCGATCGAATTCGGGCCTTTATCCAGCTGGGTGTCCATGGAATGCCTGGTGGCGAGAAGTATGCCAACTTTATGTTGGCTTGCGCCGACAAGATGTACCATCTGACCGGCCCAGGTTCTCCATGGATACCTCAGTTGCGAGCGTCAATCATGATCCGCCTGGAAGGTTTGATTGTTGTTGCCGAGGAAACCGGCGGTATGTGCGAAAATCCCAACCATGGCAGTGAGACCGAATTCTAATACAGATGCGCCGGTTCCGCTTATAGTGGTAGACGAAAACACGCCCGCATTCAACAGGGAACTAATAGCCGGCTTGGACGAGTCGAATGTGCTGAGGTTTCTCGCGCAATCATCCCTGCGGAACTTCATGAGACGGCAGCTCCCAACTGATACCAAAATAACGGAAGCTATTAAGGCGGCACAGGACGTAGTTTCAGCCACGTCTGTGCCGCTCTTTGTGGAGTTGAAGCCTTACGCGTTATTGTCTTTGGGACAGATGATAGATTACCTTTGCACAATCCTCCATGAACTAGAACGAGAAGACAGGATCGACTATGGCATCAAGTGCCTCGAGGAGGCCCTCCAAAACTTGGAGCTACCCGGCTTCCGGCGGTGGTGCCTCAGATCTCTTGGGTCGCTGCATCTTGCCAAGTACAAGGTGACAGGGAACATCTCCGATGTACGCGCATCTGTGGCCAAACTGGAGACCGCTTTGGGTTCAGCTTCCGATCGAGGTGTGGAGGCCGACCGAGAGCGGGCCAAATGCCTTCATGACCTGTCTGAATCTCTGGGTTATATGAGCGCAGAGTGCTGGCGAGGTGCACTGACATGGGAAGAGTCTTTGGAAATTATGCAGCGGCGTGTGGCCCTGGGAAAGAAGGGGATGGCACTTCTGCCCGCCGACGACCCGGAGCGCCTGCTGCACGCAGCGACTCTCGCCCACGCGTACGGAAACGTACTCCTCTACACTGGTGACCGGAACGCTCTAGACAAGGGTATCGAGATCTGCGACAGCCTGTCACACCTGGTAGAGGGAGCGAGCTCGCAAGCCAAGTCCAGACACTGGATGACTCACAGTACTCTTCTCATGCTGCGCTACCATCATACCGGGCTCGCGCAAGATCTTCCCATCGCAGCCATCGCTGCTTGGAAAGCATTCCGAGCTATCCCTCGAGATGATATCCTATATCCCACCGCGCTGGAGCGCCTGTGCGAAACACTGGTGTACGGGCCCCAAGCTACCGCTGACGGACGATATGCCCCGTGCCGACAGGATATGGACGAGCTGCTTGAGGCTGCCGAGGAGCTTGTTAATCGGGTCCCGGCCAAAACCCTCAAAAAAAGCCACTATCTAAACATACTGGTCCAGGCGCTGCTGGTCCGTACGGATTTTTTACCGCTTGATGAGCAGAAAGACCAGCTCGACCGCGCCCTTCACTTAGTCGAGGAAGCGACGGAACTTGCTGCACAGGATGGCCTCTACACTCTGAAGAACTTGGATAGCCTTCAAAGACTGCACATGAAGATGGCGGTGGTCCCCGGGTCCTCCCCTGCTGCACACATGGGGCACGCCCTGTCGGCGATGCAGGCTATATACCGACAGGGGTCCGGCACGCCTTCAGAGGCCCGGATACTAGATGTCATTGGCAACCTCAACTGGGCGAATTCCGTGATTCCTCGCAGCAAGGCCCACCCGGGCGCGGACATCGACATCCACCCGGACGTGGCCCACCTGGACGCGGCCATCGACGCCTGGGAGCGTTCCTCGCGATGTAGCAACCCGAGCAAGCCGGCAGTGAGAGTCGAAACGGCGCTGAAAGCGGCCAAGCTACTAGTGGGCTACAAGCACGACTATCCGCGCGCCGACACCCTGCTCCGAGCCAGCATCTCGCAGCTGCACCTTGTCAACCAGCGCTCTTTGCACCAAACCGATCATCAGCGCGGTGTACGTAAGCTGGTAGCTCTGGGCACCTTGGCCGCGGCCACGGCGCTCCAGCTCGGCGCCGACGCCGGCGAAGCTTTGGCTTTGCTGGAGGAGGGACGCGGCCACATCCTCGGGCTCCTGTTTGACGCCCGTTTAGACGTGAGCGCCCTCCGTGCCCACTCGGAACACGCCGCCGCGGCTGCCGACGAGTATGAACGCTTGCGCGAAGAGCTGGACATGTCGTTTCTGGGTGTTGGCAGTACTTCTGCCGAGTTCCCTGAGTTGTTTGGGAACGGCGGTGCCGCCACGGCACCCACCAGCTCTTTTTTCGAACCGACCCGGCGGGAGAAGCTCGCAGATGAGCTGAACGCTTCGATCAAAAGGATCCAAAGCATCGAAGGCTTTCAAGGGTTCATGCGGGCCCCGCTGGTTTCCGAATTAAAGCAGGCGGCCGCGAAGGGGGCTATCGTGGTCTTAAACGTATGCGCTTTCCGGTGCGACGCTTTTTTCGTTCGCCATAACTACGATGTCGCAACAGAGCCATTACCAGGCCTCGAACTGGCTGATATTATGCGGTGGAGCAACGCGATTAAAACCAAGTCGATCACAGAGGCCCAGATGTTCGAGCTGCTGGCATGGATTTGGGACCTGATAGCGGTGCCAATGCTTAGAAGGCTTGACGAGACTGGGTGGGAAAGGTCAGCCGAGGACAAGCCGGAGAGCATGCCACGCATATGGTGGATTCCTACAGGGCCGCTGGACTCGCTGCCGATCCATGCCGCGGGTCGCTACGAGCAAGGAGACCCTGCGTTTAATACATTATTAGCTCGCGTCCTGTCATCGTACACCCCATCCATCAAGGCACTTTTGTTCGCACAGCGCAACCGTCTGTGCGTCTCACCGCGATATGCCGACAGGAAGGGGAAGCAGGTCGCGAGCAGAGAAGACCAAGTCCAGGAAAGCCCGCCGCCGCCCAAAGCTCTCGTCATCTGCATGGAAAACACAGACGGTCAGTCCACGCTTGGTGCCGCCAAGAGGGAGGCTACGGAAGTGCGCGACTTGCTGCTCTCAACCACCATCGCCGCCAGCACCACCACCACAACTGCAGCCCCCAAAATTACCGTCCCTGAGATTCTCTTTGAGCCTAACAAGGCCGAGGTACTGGACGTGCTGGGCGACGCCAGTCTGCTGCATTTTGCCGGCCACGGTCGATCCAACCCGGCCCATCCGCTGCAAAGCGCGCTGCTGCTGCGCGACTGGGAGGAGGCGCCGTTAACGGTAACGGACCTAATGGATCGGTTCCGAAGGCGCCAGCACCCTCGCTTCCTGGCCTACCTGTCGGCCTGCTCGACCGGCAGCAACCGAGACCCGGACCTGGCCGACGAGAGCCTGCACCTGATGAGCGCCTGCCAGCTCGTCGGCTTCCAGCACGTCGTCGGCTCGCTTTGGGAGGTCTCGGACGGCCACTGCGTCGACATCGCCCGCGGCGTCTACGCCTCGCTCGCCCGCGGCGGGCTCGCGTCCCCGGATGACGGCGTCGTGGCGCGCGGCCTCCGCGACGCAGTGGTCGCCCTCCGCG